AGGCTGAGACAGGAAGATCACATAAGCCTATGAGCTCCGGGCCAGCCTGGGCAGCATAGCAAGACCCAACTCAAAGCAAAACACAAAGGCAGAGTCAGACGCTGAGCTGTGCTGTTCCCCAGGACGGGCCATACACAAACCCATAGTGGTTGGGTTGCAAGGTGGCATGGAGGGGGCATGGGGCAGCCCTGAGGGTCATTGGCTTGCTCCTGCTGGGAGGGCGGCAAGCCGGGTCTCCACAGAGCCTCTGCTGGAGCAGGTGGGTCCCCTGGAGGGCAAGCCACATCTCAAGAGGGCTTGGCCGGCAGACCAGCCTGACTGTTACTTGGGCTCGTGCATGTGTCTAGGGATTGCTACAGATGAAAGCAGAGAGAGTGGCATTTTGCAGGTTTGAGACTTAAAGAGGAGCCCTGTGCTCGGCCAGGCTGTCCCTGGCCTGAGCCTGGGTCCTGGCTGTGAGGGAACCCCTTCCCTGTGGGGCCTGTCAATATGAGGGCACAAGGATGCCACCTGAGGAGGCTTGGTCCCTGGAACGTGGCATTGTCCTTCTCTGCTGATGGGCATGTAGAGGGGACAGGAGCCCCTGGGGCAAAGAATGCCAGGCGGAGGGTGGAGAGAGGCATGATCTCTGGAGCACCCACATCCCTGGAGGAGAACACTCAGAGCTGCTGGCTCGGTGAGGAGAGTGCGGTGGCAGTGATCTAAGGGCCGTGCAGTACCATCGAGGTCGTGGTCACCAGGGCCCAGGAGGGAGTTTCCGAGTTCAGCTCTTGGGACAACTTGGCACGGAGACTGCTGCTGCATTTGCCTGAGCCGTTTTCCTCCAGCTGGGATCAGCATGGTCCAGGGTGGTGGACTATGGGGAGGGGATGTTGGTGAAAAGTTGTGATCTCACTGTGAAGAGTTACAATCCCGGTCCCATGCTCAGGGGCTGCAAGGTTGTGACCTATAGTTGCTTGAGTCCTGGAGAGGTTTGTCCAGATGTCAGGATTGGTTCTGTGTGTGCTGTAGGAGTCATAACCCAGATCAGCCGGGTAGGACTGCCCGAGGCTGGCAGAATCCGGCCGAATCCTTACGCTCAGGAAGGCCACGGGTCACTTGCTCACCTTCCCTGGAGATGGACGTCAGTGTCCTTCCTGTGACCCTGTGTGTGAAGGCTGGCCAGGTGAGGCACCCTGGTCTTCGTGCCCCTGGGGTCTCAGCAGATGGCTGGAGTGGAGGAGGGACGCATGCACAGTGAAGGATCAGTGGGCGCATGCTGGTTCTGCCGTCCTACAGGGCCTGGGTGATGGGAGCCGTGCTGCCGTGATGCCTGGGCTGCCGAGGAGGGGGAGTGCGTCTTGCAGGCAGTCAGATGAGGCCATGAGGCCCGAGCAGGGAAGGAGACGTAGGGGGGTTGGCAGGGGCCAGTGATGGCAACTCCTTTAGAGATGAGGGCCCTGACCCAATCCCAGACCCACATGTGTCCTAAAGTGCCAGCACTGCAGTTAATCCTGGATACTGAGGTTTCATTAAAAAAAACAACTCAGACATTCACATTGTTTGTCTTAAGAAAGAAAAGCAAGCAAGCACCCATGCATGGGGCTCCTGCACAAAGAGCCAGTTTGAGAAGGGGCTCAGTCCACTCGGTGGGGTACGTGGCTATGAGTGACCCAGGCTGTGAGTGACCCAGGGCGGGAGTACTCACTGTGGCAAACCTGTGGGGCAGGGCCAGGAGAGGGCACTCTCGACCGACCGAGCTGTCACACACGGGGGTAGGGGTCAGGGGGCACCTCCAGGGCTGAGTTGGAGGGGTCTGAAAGAGGGGCTTGGTTCATCTAGAGTCCTTGGGGCCCTCGAGGCTGAATTGTCTCTGACCTGCTGAGCTGAGGGCGGTGGTCAGGGCTAAGCGGTCATGGGTTTTAGGAAAACTTTCATCACGGACCTAAATCGCAGGGCAAAGCCAGCCCAGAGGTGGCCATGGGTCTGAGGGAACCCATTGTGACTGGGTGTGGCTGGGCTCTGGTTTGTGTTTGTCCTGCCCGTGGCAGGGTGGCACGGAGGGTGGCTGCCCTGTGCTGGCTGTCCTTCCCATGTGGGTGGCCACTGCTGTGCTCCACACGTGTGCTTCTCAAGTGTTTCTGTCCCTGGAGGTGGGGCCGGCCTCCTCCTGTCCTGAGGAGGGGGTGGCATTTCCCTGCAGATTTGGGGACAAGGTAGCACATGGTCTCTGCCACTGTGCTTATGGAAAGAATCAGGTCAGCTTAGAAGTAAGGTAAAATGTGTTTGGGCATTTAGCTCTCTGTAGCCTGTAACATACATGTTTCCAAAGCTATTTCTGCTTCACCAACTGGAGAATTTAGTAGATGCTGCCTCTGTCTTGAGAGAGGGTCTTTGTATGCATCGGCAGTGGGGGAAAGATCCAAATTCATGGTTGTAAGTATTTGCAGCTCTACTGCCCGGGGTCTCCTTTTGTGTGTCGTCATGAAGTGGGAAAGTGTCAAGTGGAACCCTGGTGATTAGGACCTTGTGTGCAATACTCAGAGGTGCCCTAGGGTCTCCTTGTGGCTGGACCAGGAGGAGGATTGCTGGCCAAAGGGTCTCCACTTGGCCCCAGGGCGGATGCACAAGCCCCGTCCCTGCCCACCCCACCTTGCTCTCTGCAGCCCTCCTGTCCAGATGGCTGTGCGCCTTGAGGCTAGATTGTGCTTCAGGCTGCATGCTTGGTTGGTGCTGCTGGGCCCCATGGCACTCTGCTCTGGGTACCTCCCACCTGCTTCTGGGTCACCAGAGTGGGGAGCAGAGGGCGCGGCAGCCCCTTCAGGGCCCCAGCTGTGCTGCCAGGCAGCAGCATCTCTAAGCCTATGTGGCCCCGGGCTGGGGAAACCCCCAGCACTGCAGGTGGAGGTGGGATGTGAACCTGCCTTTTTATATGCTGCCAAGGCCTGTTAGTGAGGTGGGTGTGACCGCTGAATCACAGTACTCGCTAGTTGTTTAGTTGGTGCCAGATTCTGGTTTAAGGTCTTTCTATAGATTAATCTTGGTTCTTCACAACAACCAGGCAGTGTAGGTAGTTTGTCCACATTCTGAATGAGGAACCGGCCCCAGAGAGGCCCAGTAAGTTCCCCAAGAACACCCAGCTTGAAGGAGCAGACCCAGGCCACAGGGCCCCTGCCCCACCGCATGGCACTTCCGTTTCTTGCACAGCTGAGGGACTGCTGGCTGCTTTTGCTCGCAGCGGGAGGGCAAGCGAGGGGAGAAGGAGGAGCCATAGCCAAAGCTCCAGCCGCTCTGCACGCTCCCGAGGGTGCTGCTGTCAAGGTCTCTCTTCAGATGAGGGCCCCCGTCCTTTATTTTGTGACCAGGCCGTGCAGTACTCCGGGCCTTTGCTACAGGGCTTCAGGAACAGGGAGTGCTATGAGTGCAGTGGCGGATAATTAGCTCAGGAGGCTGTGTTGTGAGTTTTTGGTGAGGGTGATAACTAATAATAATTTGTGGGTTATACTTTGAGGAAGTAGAAGGAATCGGGCAGCACGAAGGGGAAGGGCGGTCAGCAGTCATCAGCTGGGCCCGGTGGGTCCCTGAGGAGGCGAGGCGGGAAGTGTTACTCAGAGGCTGTGGGGGCAGAGGCTGGGCAGACCAGCCGAAGGCTGGAGTGAGGATGTTCAGGTGTGGCCTTGGGGCTGTCAGGAATTAGACAGGGACTCAGTGTCATCTGCTCCTGCCGTGGGGTGGCAGGGCTGAGGCACTGGCCATCCAGCCACCACCAGCCCCTCACTGCAGTGATGAGGGATGCATGACTCAGGAGGAGGAGAAGGCTTTGGGCTTCAGAATTCACTGTGGCTGCTTCCTGTATAGCACTCCCTTCTGTGAATCCCTTTTCCCACTGAAATGTTCCCAGCATCATCTGCTGAGGCAGTTGCCCTGTGCCTGCCATTTGAGGGGTCACCGGGGCCCCTCAGGTCCCTGCCACATGTCGCACCTGCCATCCACAGCCTGGGTTGGGGCACCTAAGGCTGCTGAGGCTTTAGTTGGGAAGAGCGATGGGGTGGGGGGCTGACCCAGGACTGGCTGTGCTGGCTCTGGCGGAGGCTTGGAGCCCTCGGGGCCGCTGCTGATGGGGACTGGGTTGGTCTCTGCGGCTGGGTCGGTGCCGGTGAATGGCCATCATTTCCATTGGTTCCATTTCCATGCTTCCCAATTGCTGACATGAGTCCTGTGGGGAGGAAAAGTGTGGTCACTTGGGGATTCCACTGTGCCCCCAGGAAAGCATACTGCTCATCCGGCTTTGGGGAAGATTGGGGGCCCTGTGTGCTCAGCAGAATGCGCTGGGCCAGGGGGACAAATGTGGAGCAGTTACTTACCATTAGGGGCTACCTTCTCATCGGGGAGTCCAGTCCTGCACCCTCCAGGTGGCCAAGCTGATGAGATAAATCTTCTGGATTCTGTCGTCCACGGTGTCACTGGGCTTAGTGAACCGTTTGGGAGGGCTGGGTCCCACACTCTATAGGGTGACACTTACTCCAGGAACCTCCTTGGTGAACCTCTCTCTGTTGGGCTTAAAAAACAAAGTGAGGCCTGGGGGCTTAGCTCCAGGGCAGAGGTTGTGAGTTCAGCCCAGGCACAGCAGCTGCAGGGAAAGGAAGAAGAACCTTGTTTGGTTCCTGGCCTGCCTCAGGAAGAAGAGTTGTGGAAGATTCCTATCTGAAATTAATACCACAATACTTCTGGTACCTGAGCTCTGTGGTGGGCGCTTACTCTTAACGGCTGGTTTTGCAGGGTGGCGGCTGTGGTCAGGGCTTCGCCTGGTGACAGGCAGCCCTACTTCCGTTTGCTGGTGCTGGCTGGTTTCCAGGCACCTCACTTCTCTACGCCCTCCGCGCCTGTGCTGGGGAAGGAGGCTGTCTCCTGGGTCCAGAACTTTAAAAAGTGACAAGCTTTTCTTTCTCAGCCTCTTTGCTGGGTTCGGGAGCTCAGGGAAGGTTTTAAGGACTCACCTATTTGTCTTCTGTTGTTTTCAGAGCAGAAGTTTTTGAGGACTCCGGGCTAGAAGACGGAAAGCTCTGGCAGACAAGGCACAGGTAAATCATACTGCCCAAGCATGCGTTCCCAGCTGCTGTGAGCCTCTGTATGTCCAGCAGGTGGTGGGGTACTCGGCCTCTTCTTGCAAGTTCCCAGGGCCGAGACTGAGACTTGTGCCTCCCCATGGTGGCCTGGCATGGAGGCCCTGGTGGCCTTTCCTCAGTTCTGTTCCTTGACTCCAGCTCTCTTTTCTCCTGGGGGGACCCAGGCTGCCTGGCCACAGCCACCTCTCTTTCCTCCCTTAAGGGGTGAGGAGAAGCCGTTGCTGAGAACGGGCCCTAATGCCACTCATGGGTCCTGGGCTGCTTCCCACTTCCTCTTAGTTACTCCGAGCCCTACAGTTAGAGTTTGGCAGCCAGGTGGAGTCTCCAGCATAATGGGTCTCCACTGTCTCCTTCCTGAGGCGCCTGGGGTGGTGGAGCAGGACAGTAGGGGCTCTCGCAGGCGCGTGCACCGAGGGACCCTTACATGGGACATTGGCCCGTGTGTGACCTTGGCAGGAGTGCCCCATGTCACTGTGGTGCATGGCCTCTGCACCAGAGACCCCGAACCCTGAACACTCGGTGGCTGCGTGCACCTTTGCAGGAAGTGAATTGCCCGCCTTCTCAGTTGGGGCCGTTTTTCCTACCACTTGGTGAGAGCACTTTACGAGCAGCTCTGAGGGTCAGCACTTGAGTTACAGGCATCCCTTCCCTGGTTCTCTCTCTGCTTAGATCACTGGTCTTTGATTTCTGTGCTTTGTTAGAGAACTGTTTTGGACCCTTGGCCATGGTGATGGCAGTTAGTGGTGAAGGTCTCCCTGCGGCTGGAAGCATGCTTTTCCCATCCCATGTTCAGAGAGAAGTGCTCTTATCATCTCTCCTGTGCAAGGTGAAGGACATGCCAGGCAGTGTCGCCTGACTGGGGCCACCTCCACAGATGCTGGAAGACCCCAGTGTGTCGTGACCTCAGCAGGCTCCTAGCAGGGTTTAGGGGCGCCGGCTTCTGTGTTGCATATTGGGATATCACTTGGTGTTGGGTTTTCCCTGCTTTTGCAGTGCGGTCAGTCCCCAATTTAGGTGCGAGCTCCTCTCTGGGAGGAGGTTTATGGGTCAGGTTTGTTCATAGTCCCACAAAGCGCGTATTATGTGGTGCACCTGTGAAACATAACTCGCATGTTCCTAAGTCAGGCACTTCCTGTCCTTGGGGCTGAACCCAAGTCCTCATGTGGAGCTACATGCCCAGCCACTTTTCACTTCATGTTTTGAAATAGGGTCTTGCTCAGTCCCTGAGTTGCCCACATTGGTCTGAAGCCTAGGGTTCTCCTGCCTCAGCCTCCCAGAGTACTGGGATGTGTACCACGGTGCCCATCAGTTTTTAATGAGTAAATGGAGTTTTGTTTTATAAAAGCCATATGAAGTGTAACTCACCATTTAAAAGGGCATTTCCTGGCTCCCCTGCCACTTCCTGTCAGCAGCTGGGCATATGTCCAAGCTCACAGGTGTTGGCGTCTGTGTATCCATGTATGTGTGTATGTTTTTGTGTGTCCCCCTTACCCTGTGTAGATCTCTGGGTGTCTGTTCATCCTCACCACACAGCTCGGGCCATCGTGCCCTAGGTTGTGCCCCTGCCTCACCTGGAGGGCGAGCCCGTGGCCGTCCCTGCCCACCTGTCCCTGCGAGCAGGCAGCCCTGGTTATACAAACTGCTATCACCCAGGTGGTGTGTGTGACATTGGGCCCTTCCTGTGGCCGTGGGAGGGCACCCCGCACTCTCGTGGCACTGGCCAGTAGCAGTTTCTAAAGTTTCTGTCTTCTGCTTGGTATCCATTTCTTCAGCACAGTTAAATCTTGGAATCATGATGGGAGAACTGTCAGGTACACACAGATTCCGAGTGAGGCTGGACTTCACTGTCTTCCCGTGACCCTGCCCTCCTGTAGGTCAGGTCCTCGGAGCTAAAAGTGATGTGCCAGGGACCCCTGTGCACTGTCCCCTGCGTCCTGTAGATTCTCTGCTGGGTGCGCTCCCTCTGCAAGTTCCCATAGTCCAGCAGCCTCAGTCGGTTGTGGGCTTACCTGGCTCAGGCAACTGTAACGTCCACAGGGCAGCTGAGAAACAGCGTCAGACTCCGTCCTGCTGGCTGGGAGCCAGTGTGTGGCAAGGGCCTGCTTCCTCACTGTGCAAGGTGCTCACATGGCAGCAGGAGTGAGGCATCCCCTGAAGCCTCTTCCACAGTGATGCTAACCCATGTATGACCTGATCCTCACCCTGTCTGTGATCACGATCTTGACGGATGGGTATGCATCAAGCCTGGCCCAGCTTCCAGTGTGGACAGGAGAAAGTGGGTCTGAGATACCGCGCCGTGGCTTGCTTGGCTTCCTGGTCAGGGCCCGCTCATGGGTCCAGCGCAGTGCAGCCATGGAGCTGAATGCCAGCTGCAGAGTCAAGGTGAAGCTCTCTAGGGATCCACTCCATGTCGGGGAGCACCAGAGCAGGTGGCTGTCAGCTGTGTTGGGGGCTCCTGAACCCCCCTGGTTCCTGAAGGAGCAGTGTGCAGGGAGGTGGCACAGCTCCCTGAGGGGATGGGAGAGGAGCGCAGGACTCAAGCAGGTTGTGTCAGCCCCAGCACCGTGGCTACCTGTCCCTCACAGCTGGCTGCCTGCTCCCAGCTCACAAGGGAGGTGTCCTGACCGTGACCCCACAGAGCCATGGGGCTCTCACCCTGTGTGGACAGACCCATGGGACAGAAGGAGAGCAGGCTTCTCCAGGAGGGGTCTGGGCAGGTGGCAATGGCCCGCCAGCACACCCTATCCCAGAATCCATTGGATGCTGGAGAGGCCACTTCAGGGTCAGCAGGAGCTCTGTCCCTTCTGAGTGTGAGTGACCAGTGTCCCCTCTGACCCAGCCCAGCTGCCGGATATCAGTGAGGAACCACATCTGAGGTTCAGCATTAGATGAGAATTTGTTTGCTGTAGCAGAGAGACATATGCATGCATGCACGCACGCACACACACCTACAGAGGGACACATGTGTAGACCTAAGAGGTGCTACCCCCTCACATGTATGCATACACAGGTGTGTCATTGCAGGTATCCACACTTACAAAGGTGCACAGCACATGCATACACATGCACACATAGATGCCTATGTGTGCACACTGCTGCACACAGATGTGTGTGTACACAGACCTGCACATGAATGTGCACGCAGAAGTCCATGTGGGTCCAGATTGCACATGCACACCTGCATGCACACATATACAGAAGCCACTCATTTGTGACCTGCCCATCCCCTAGTTAGTCACTGGTACTCCTTTGACTTTCCAGGCCCTTGAGGTGTGGAGCTGCCATCTGACAGCCTTGGGCAGGCAGTGGGGAGGGGCCCAGAGCCCGGGAGCCCCACACCCCTGCCGTTTAGGCAGGTGAATGTACCCCTGGAGACCCCTGCAATTGCGCATACCTGGTGGGACATTCGTAACCCTGTCTAAGGGGCTCCACTGCCGGGTCCTTCCGAGGGCAGGGCTGACTGTTGGACGCTGTCATGGCAGAATGGCGTTTATCAGCCGCACTTCCCCATGAGGTAGGCTCTCTTCTCAGAAATGCTTGAGTAAGCAGAAAATAAATGATGTAACTTAAATCTTAGTTGCAGAGTGTGGAACATCTTGTCGGGGGTCAGAGCCGCACCATGGGGGCAGATCTGTGTGGCAGGGTGCGTGCTCTGCAGCAGGCTGTTTTCAGTTACCCCGCTTGAGGCAAGCTTGTTGGAGAAAGTGCAGGAGCCCTTCGTGTCATGGAGCCTGCACCCTGTCCCCCAGCCCATGGGGTTGGCCTGACCTGAGCCTTGGCTCCTGTGGTTGAGAGGCCCCCAGGAAGGAGCAGTGGGGCCTGGCCAGGCCCTCAGGGGTCTGGGGTCTGCACCGCAGACCTGGCAAGAGCCTACAGGGCAGCATGGGTGCCTGGCCGTGAGTGGCCTCGTGGCCAGCTGGAGTGCACTGGGGTCTAGGGGCAGCCCAGCCCCCCGGGGACGGTGGTGTACACAGGCATCTCTCCACCACCAGCCCTGTGAAGATTGGGGCCCCCAGTGCCAGCAGTTCCTGGCCACACCCAGTCTGCAGCCTCTGGCTCCTGAGGGAAACTGTGTGGGGGGCGGTGCTCTACACCCATTGCATTCATGGGGCAGCTGTGCTGGGGCTCGGGCGTGAGTGCAGGTTGGTGTCCTGGTCGGAGACACCATGGAGCCCTGTCTGGGGTGCAGACCTTCCTGTCCTGTCTTGTGCTGCTCATCCCCGGTCCCACTCCCGCTCCCACCTGCCCTCCTTTGGGGCTGCTGGCTTGAGGTAGAAGCTCAGGTTCCTGTGACTGCCATGTTCCTCAGTGAATGCAGGGGCTGTGCCCCCAGCAGCCTCCTAGTACCTGGGCCCTGGGGCGCTGCTCTGTGCTGGAGCCTGATGGGCCAGGCTGGAGGCACACCAGGGAGGTCGGTGGTATTGAGCAAGCGGCAGGGGTTGCCCCACATCCTGACCCATGACCCCTTCCTCTTCCCTCTCCAGGGCACCTTCAGAGGCTGTGCAGAGCTGCAGTGCTTTTGGAAGGAAGTGCGGGGAGCCCGCTAGGAGACCCTAGCAAGTGAGGCTATGTGGGCCCTCAGGAACCCTGCTGCTCAATTGGTCCACACTGTGCTGCTGGTGCCTGCCTGGGGCCTCTGAGCGTGGTCACCGACTCCTTTTGCCCATGCGCCTTCGCTGCTGGAAACCCCGAGAGGCCCCTGCCTGTAAGGATGGAGCTGCTGCCAGCCCTAGCGCTGGTGTTGGGGGTGGTGGCAGCATTCGCACCAATTCCCAGGATCACCTGGGAGCACCAAGGTGAGCTGGTGCCATCGCAGCACTCAGGGGGCTGTGACAGCAGCTGGGAACGCCAGGGTGAAGCGTGGGCATGGTGGACACTAGGCATGAGCAGGCTGCTCTGCGCGAGCTGTGGATGGGGGCCGTGGTGCCGGGAGACTGTTGGCCCCAGGCATTTGACCCAAACTCGCGCCTCATCGTTGTTTGAGGCTGCCGAGCACTGGCCTTGGCCTAAGGGAAGCTATAGGCACGAGGGACTGGGCCATGTGCATGTCAGGCCTGTGAGCCGCATTTGCTGCCTTGAGTCCATCTTTCCACTCCTGGGAGATGTGTGCTGGGCCCCCAGGCTCCCTGGCTCGGAGGGCGGGGAGCTGAGCCGGGGGTGGGGTGCGGTGTGGGGGGGGTGGCTCAGTTGCCCCGAGCGTCTGGCGCAGACTCAGGGCCAGGCTGTGGTCGAGCAGAGGCAGGACCTGCCTGGGGCAGCACTGGAACAAGAAGCCTGAACATCAAGGGCTCTCTGTGCCTTGCTTGTTAGTCAGCCGGACAGTGGGGTTTGTGTTTGTGAGGACACAGTGGAATGAGCGCAGGTAGGGCAGGAAAAACAGTGCGGTGTGTGTGCTGAGATGTCAGTTCTGCTAACAGTGGTACCAGGCGGCCTCAGAAAGGAGCCAGGTCGGACTCCCAGGTTAGGGGAGCACGGGCCACAGCAGGGACATAGACAGAGGCCAGGGTGGCCACTGCCTGAAGAACCCACTGCCAAAGATGTTGACATGGGCTGTGCAGAGGAGGCTCTGGCTGGGTGTCCCAGGCTCCGAGTGGGCCTGGGCCTGGCAGACCCTGAGGGACAGAGGGGCCCAGCCTTGGGGTGCACACGTGGGGCCTGTCATTTGAATTGTCCTGGGGGCACCTGTGTTCCCTGCCTCGTGGCATTGATGGTTGCACTGCGGGGTCCTCACCGTGGGGCTGTGCCTGCTGTGCCTGAGTGTAGGCTGGGAAGTGACCCCTGCTCTTTCTCCCATTCCCTCCTGCCTCTGGACGGTGTCCTTGCCCCCCGCAGAGGTGGGGCTGATGCGGTTCCACGAGCCCGGCATCTACAACTACTCGGCCCTGCTGATGAGCGAGGACCAGGACACCCTGTACGTGGGGGCCCGGGAAGCAGTCTTCGCACTGAGGGCGCTGGATGTCTCCCGGAAGCTGCGCGAGGTGCGTCCTGTGCCCCCTGAGCCCGTCTGTGGCCGCCGGCCACTCCCCCAAAGACTTCTTTTTCTGTCTCTTCTTGAGCTTTTCCTTGGTGTGCTGGGTGTGGGGTGCAGGGGAGCGCTGTGCCCTCAGCCCTGGCCTTGGCAGCACAGTCCTGGGTGGCTTTCCGGACCTCTGAGTTGGACCCAGGCTGGCCCCTCGTTTCCTAAAGCCCAGCTCTCATTTTGTCTTGTGCTCCAAGGCCCATTGTGTTTCTTAATGTTGCCTGATACATAAATGAGCTGCCCAGCCAGGTTCTTGGCCGGAGAGCGTCCCCTCCCCTCTCTTGAGCCCATTGCTGGTCCTCAGCATCCCAACTGCAGATTAGGAAAAGGCCTTCAGGGTTTAGCTTTTTGCCACACAATTAAATTCTCCCACTTGCAGTGGTCGCTTCTGCTGCTCTCTGTGGGAATAAATGGGCTGTGGAAATGCTTTCCAGGCCCCACGTGTTTCTGATGAGCATCACAGAACATTCTGGAAGGGCCAGTGGTGCCACCGAGGCATCAGCACCGCCCTGCTCTCTGGCCTCCTTCCCTGGTCAACATCTGTCTGCTCAGGAGACGTCGTCTTGCCGACTGAACTGCGTCACTTGTGGCTGTGGCCCTCCTCCTCTGGGGAACGTGCGTGACCGCTCTGATCCCCCTGCAGGTATACTGGGAGGTCTCAGAAGACAAGAAGGCCAAGTGCGCCGAGAAGGGAAAATCAAAACAGGTAGGGACTGCTGCACTACACCGGCCACTGCGCCTTGGTGTGGGGACCCCGGGATGTGCAGGTCGGTCCATCTGTCCTGAGGCCCGGCACTGGCAGGGGCTGAGCGGAGCAGGCCCTAAGAAATCTTTGTGGTTTGTGTGACTCGACTGATTCAGAGGCCCTGAACCTCTGCCTGAGAAGATGCTTCTGCTGCCCACTGACACTGGCTGTGAAATCCAGGTGCTCGGGCTGCTTTCCCAGGGAGCAGCCTCGAGCTGAGGGGCTGCCTGCTTGGGGGTGTTTGGTTGGCCCTGTCCACCCCCCGCACCTGCCCTGCCTGGCTCTCAGACCCTAGAGCTCAGGGACCAGGGTCATTGGTGTCAGCTGAGTCATGATACATTTCAACACTTGCTGGCTAGTTTTGAAACAAAAAGAAAACAAGTTTTTTAAAGTCTGAGAAATTTTTTTCATTGTTAAACTTAGTTAACGAAGTTTTGCTGAAGTATTTGTCTCTAAATCCAGTATTAGCCTTGGGCACAGTTGGGTCACCGTCCTTCAGGAGTCTGGAGCCCAGAGGGACCGGGTGGTGCCCTATGTAGAGGGTGCCCGGGAGGGCAGGGAGCACTGTGAATTGCAGTCAGCAGAAAGCCTGAGCTAATTTCAGACTCCAGCTCCTATAATCCAAGTCCTTTCCTGCCAAAAATAGCAAGTGGGTTCTTAAGTGGTACCTTGGTGACGCACAGCTGGCTGCACCCCCTTTTCTGGTCAAGCCTCTCCCTTCCAGTGGAGAAACCGATCCCAGCCCTGTGTGTGCAGGGAGGAGGGTGGGTCTCCTAAAAGCACGGGGGTCTCTGAAGGGGAACATTCTGCATGCTGTGTGCGGGGAGGGAGGGTAGGTTCCCCGAAAGCCGGGAGGGCTCTGCGCATGCTGTGCACCCTGGCAGGCTTGGTCTCAAGGAGAGCTTCCAGTTTGTGCATTTGGTGAATTTCTTTCCACAAAGGGTATCCCTGGGACAGTTCGAGGTCAGCTCTCTTTGTAACATGGCCAGGGCTGAACTGGGATTCTGCCCAGCACCTAAACAGCCTGTGGGCTCCACAGAGCTGAAATTACCTGGGTCAGCGTGAGGGTCAAGGGCATGGGGCCAGATCTGCTGTGTGGGGACCCATGCCAGCATGCGAGGTCAGGGTGTGGACAGTGGCCGCCGTTTCCAGCTGGATGGCTGCTGACCAGCGCTCTCCCCTTCCTTCTCTCTCTTGTAGACGGAATGCCTGAACTACATCCGGGTGCTTCAGCCTCTCAGCTCCTCTTCCCTGTACGTGTGTGGGACCAACGCATTCCAGCCCACGTGTGACCACCTGGTAAGACCTCGGACACCCCATGACAAGCGAGCTTGGGTCCACGTGGCCAGCGGCTGGCACAGCTCAGTCCCTGAGGCCAGTGCAGATGGGGCCACAGTGGGCATTGTGAAAGGGGTACTGCTGACAGGCAGGTACCCGCCGCCAGAATCTGGTGGCTCACTGCTGCCCCCTACCTGCTGTCTGGTGAGGAAGGCCTGGCTGCGGCCTTGCTCCCAGCTATGGTGTGTGCTTGGTCATCCAGTCTTGGAGGCCACCACTGCGCACCGGCTGTGAAGTGTAGCTGGTCACCAGGGTGTTCCCTGGGTCCACCGCTCTGGGTGTTAGTGACAGGACCCCTGCTCCTCCCTGAGCCACAGCCTCCACCCTTCCCAGAGCAGCGGGCCCTGCCTTGGGGCTCAGGTCCTCAGGGCGGCCAGGTAGAGGGACATCGGCCTGTGGTGTCATTCTCTTTAGGAGAGGCTGTTGTTTCGGAGGTAACCTGAGTAGCAGTTCGATGACAGAGAGGGAGAAGTGTTTGGAGTAATTACTTGGGGTGACTGGAAATAAAGCTTATTTTCCCGTGACCGTTGCTGGACTAACCAGGGACCTGCAAAGCTAAAATGTGCTGTGTAGCCCCTGCCCCCTCTCCTGGGATGCAGGCAAACCCCCTGTGGGTGCTGGGGTCTCGGGCAGCACGGTCTGGCCCAGTGCCGCGCACCTGAGATCCAGGCCCACTTCGTGTGCATAGTGGGCAGGATGGGCAGGCAGTGTAGGTGCACCAGACAGGTGAGTCACATCCTGCGTGGACCATGGTGTGGCGCAAGCTTCCGTCCTGCTGCTCGGAACGGCAGCTGCCAGCAAGTCACGGAAAGCCCTTCACAGAGCAAGATGCCTGTTGTGTAAAGCTTGGTTTCTTGGCACCTCACCTCTCCGGGCATTTATAAAACATTTCCCAGGGTGGGGACATCTGGATGGTAAGGGGCTTTGCGTAGTGTGCAGGCGGTCCCGGGTTCCATCCCCAGCTCAGAAAAAAAATTCTAACCTTGGGTTGGAGAAATAAGAAAGCACGAACTCAGCAGAAACTGGTGTGGGAGCCTGGGGTGTGCACCCAGATATCAGGTGAAAGGTGTACCAGGGGCCATCAAGACCCACAGATGCTGGCAGGGAGAGCTGCTGTGGGCAGAGCCCCCGTCTCCCTGGAGAAGGCCGCCAGTGCTGCCAGTGCTTGGAGGCAGAGGCTTCTTTTTGTTTAAATGCAAGAAAGAGAAAACACAGTTATATCATAAAAGCTCTGCGTGTGGAAGGATTTGCTGGCTGCCTCTAGGTGATTGGAAACTTAGGGCTCTGGCTTTGCCCTGGAGGTGCCAGTGGTTGAGGTAAGGGGTAGTGTATTTCATTTAAACCTAGACCTACAACTTTTGAAAAGTTTCATGGAAGGGTTCCCACCTGTGGAAACGTGGGTCATTCCTGTGTACACTAACTGCCCAAGCATGCACGTGTGTGTGTCCGTGCGTGCCAGCCAGGCTCTGCTTCCCAAGTGCTGGAACTGTGATGGGCGAAGTGGTGATGCAAACTGCAGTTCTGCTGCTGGGAGGCTGAGCAGGAGGGCCACAGCTTTGAAGCCAGGCTGAACAACTTGGCTAGACCGTGTCTCAAAATAAAAACGTGACGTCTTCCTGCATAACTAACTTCACTGTGGCTAAGAAAATAACAAGGCTCCCAGGGTCACGCAGGTTTCCCCAGGGGCTCCAGGCATCTCTTAAAGGTGTGATGCATGTGGCCTCTGTCATGTGAAGCAGGGGTCACCCCACACATGTTCCCGGCCTGACAGAAAACTCGGGAGTTGTCTGAATGGGAGGTGCAGAGTGCAGGCTCAGGCACCCCGGTGTTCTGGCCCAGCTGGCGAGACCCTTCCCAGCCAGTGGGCTCCCCTGCCCAGTGCCACCCAGTACGCCACCCTCCGAAGCTCTAGGCTGAGCGTGAGCTCCAGGACCTGGCTGTCACCTCCCCTGAGTTTCCAGCAGGCTCACCCTGGCGGGGGTGATTCTCCCTTGGTTGGTTTTTCTGTTTTCATGGCACATGCCTCTCCGTACACATCTGTACCTGTGTGCTGTGTCTTCAGAGAGGGGGACACCTCACCTGTCGTTCTGCAGGCATCCCCCTAGTTCATCCCTGAGGTTTAGTCGCACCCCGTTTTCCTGGGCGTTCGAGAGCTTTCCAGTGTTTCAGGTGGTGACAGATTGGCTGTCCTGTCCTTGGTTTGTGCCGGCTTCAGGGTGTGGGTCTAGTGAAGCTAGTGGGTGTCCCAGGCTGAAACCCTGACTTTGCTTTCCATATTCAGCTCACCGATCCATCAGAATGTTCCCATGGGTGGATGGAGGTCTGGGGGCTGTTTCCAGTTTTTGGTGTCTGCAGGCTGATCATCCCGGCTCAGATCAGGAGATGCTGCACTCAGCTTCTGGTCCCCTGCTGAGTGCATCCTATGTGTGGGTCCCGAGCCTCCTTGCAGCCCCGAGTCGACAGCACCACTGCCTCTGTTTTGCAGAGGTGCAGACAGTGGTGTAAGGTCACGGGCAGCTTGATCACGCCACTGCGGACAGGCCTGGGTAAGACCCAGGAGGCTCAACCCCGTTTTACTTTCGCAGTAAAAGGGCCGAGGGTCTTTCGGGAATAGCGAGCCTGCGGAGCTCAGATGTTTTACAGTGTGTTTTCTTTTTACTCAATTGTAGGACTTAACATCCTTCAAGTTTCTGGGGAGAAATGAAGATGGCAAGGGAAGATGTCCCTTTGATCCAGCACACAGCTACACGTCTGTGCTCGTGGGTGAGTCGGCTGCCCAGGCTTCCGAGAGCTTCTGGCTGAGGTTGTGTCCCCATTGGGACCCCAGGCCTTGCTTCCCTCCTCTGTGCGTAACATAGGCCACTGCGGACTGTTCGTTAGTGAGAACTTTGGGACCCTCCCTCAGAGGGTAACCAGCCACCACCGCGCTTGCTTCACATCTGCCACTGCCATGCTGGCCCGGGCAGGGTGCTCCTGTGTGACAGGTTGGCAGGAGACCCACCTGCTGCCTCCCTACAGAGCCCTTGGGCATCCGGGGGCCAGGAACCCTGCAGCCCCAGCAGCTCACTTAGGGTCTTTCCACATGGTGAGGGTCACCTGTGCTGCCATCGACCCTTCCAGGTGAGGACAGCACATGGTGAGTCCCAGGAGCCACTCGGTGTTGTAAGGGAGGCTGCACACACTGGTTCTGCCCGGCCCTGGCTCTCGCAGGCCGTGCTCTGAGGTTGGTGGGTCATGGTCACAGATGCAAGCTCACTGCAGGGCGTCTGCCACTCAGATGGCCAGGAGTGGAGCGTGTCTGTGTTTGCACCTGCCATACTTCATGCTGGACGCTCCTCCTTGGTCTGCTCTTGGTGCCACAGCCGCAGGGCTGACTCTTTTCTTCTTCCTCCCATGGCTGCAGATGGAGAGCTGTATTCTGGGACGTCGTACAATTTTCTGGGAAGTGAACCCATCATCTCCCGAAACTCTTCACATAGCCCCCTGAGAACAGAGTACGCGATCCCCTGGCTCAACGGTAAGCACTGCAGTGGCCTGGCAAGGGCCCCGTGCCCGGGCATGTGCAGTTTCATTCTCCTCGGTCCCCGAGCTGCAAGGTCCCAAGCTCGATCAGTCCCAAGCAGGGAAGTTGCTTCGGTGTTGCTCAGGGCCCCAGTCCAGGGCTGGCTGGTGTGCTCTGTCCCCTACCAGCAGAGTGTTTATTAATGGCTGCTTTTACCCCAGCCCTGCAAAGAGGCTTGGAGGCTTTTAATGAAGACTCTGATCGTACCCAGGGGACTCAGGGTGGTTGGAACTGGGGTGGCACAGCTTCCTGTGTGATGTTAAAGTGGACATTCACCAGGCTCCAGCCCAGAGCCGATGGGACCAGGCTGCTTGTGAGGGCAAAAACTGTGTGGTGCTGGCCCTCGACCCCTGGGTGCCTTGAAGCCGCATGCTGTGGGGCACAGCCTGTGCTAGAGTTGGGGCTCAGCTGGCCACGCCTGGTGGGAGTGCAGTTGGGGCTGAGTTTGACCCCTACAGCACCAGTGTCTCCTGCTGCCCCCTGCCTGGGCTCTGTGGTGGACAAGGTCACCATGGGGACAGCTACTGGAAGCTGAGGAGGGTGGGATGGAGCAGGCAGCGTTCCCACCCGATGTCAGAACCCATGAACGTCCCACGAGCCCTGCCCACCAGCCTGCAACACCATGGGGTGTGGCGAGGGTGACCTCTGGCATCTCCCACAGAGCCCAGCTTTGTCTTCGCTGACGTGATCCGGAGAAGTCCCGACGGTACGGACGGTGAGGATGACAGGGTCTACTTCTTCTTCACGGAGGTGTCGGTGGAATACGAATTTGTTTTCAAGCTGATGATCCCCCGAGTGGCCAGGGTGTGCAAGGTGAGCCCTCCTGCCTGGCCCTCCTGTCTCAGAGACCTGGGGGGCACTGGCGCTCCAATGTGACCAGCCAGCCTACAGTTCTCGGGGAGTCTGGCTTCATGGCCTTCCTCAGACCCCTCAGCCTCTCACTGGCAGCCTGGCTTGCAACTCTGGAGTTGGGGTTTCACCATGGGCCCCGCAGGGAGCCCTGAAAGGAAATAGGCAGAGCTAGGGGTGTGTGGTGGGTAATAGCGGGAACTGAGCATGGACACACACAGTGAGGGTCGCTGGCGGCCCTTGGCTGGGGCACAGGGACCTCTTCTGAGAGTCCCACGAGTGGTTGTGTGGCCTTGTGTGTTAGTGGCTGTTTGAACACAGGTGCTGGATGCCCTTACCTCACAGTCCACCCTTAGTGCAGGAAGTGGGCACCCTGTGTACCCCAGCATCTACTCCTGCTTTACAGTGCCCATGTGGTGTCTAACCCGGGTCCCAGCCCAGGCCCCGAAGGTCCTCCACCTGGGGCTGCCTCACCGTGTGCCTTGACAGCCTGGAGACAGTTTGACAAGGGCTCCCATGTCCAGGGCGTTGTCTGGGGGTGCATGGGGAGCAGGGTGCCCGCAAGGCCCCACAAGCAGGAGTGTTGGTGCCATGCTGCCTCCTAGGCTGTGGTCTGGCCATGGCCCTGGCCCTGGGCCTGCAAGACATTCGAGAACAGGCCCCTTGAGGACTGCAGTCCCACGCAGATTCCCACTGTCCCTTAGAGTCTGCTGTGTCCCCACAAGTGTAGTCACTGCTGGACCAAGACTGGCAAGCCACACTGCTCACCTCCCCTCCCGGTGCCCCTCGAGCCTTCAGCCGCTCTGAGGACCAGAGGCCATGAGTTGAGCGGCCAGGACACAGTACAGCACGATAGTGTTTTGTGAACTTTACGAAAGGAAGTAAACTTTTTCATGAAGAAAAAGGAAACAGTTCTCCAATGACGACGCAGTAAAGATGGGAATGAAGTATGTGTTCAGGGGTCCAGTGAGTGAGGACATCTGCCCTCGTCCTCCCGGTTCCACACCTGTGGCTGCCGCCCCCGGGGTCAGGCCGAGGACCCGCGGAAGCACGGCGCAGGCTATGGCAGACCGAGCCAGCGTCTCCCTTAGCTTCCTGCGAGCTAAAGGCCAGCGCACCTCTGCGCAGGAGCCCGGCCCAGGTCAGTCGCCACCAAGCGCTGTGACCGTGAGTGAGACTTGAGTTCGATGCCTGGTTCCAAAAATAGGAATGGATGGTGCTTCCAGCCCTCAAGGGCCTGGGTGCCGTGGCCCAGCTGCAGAGAGCGGCACTGCTGGTCCTGCTGGCTGCCCAGGTGGTGCTGTGCTGCCCTGTGGGGCGCAGTGGAGGGCATCCCTGCAGCAGTAGCCCGCACTGCAGGGTGACCCAGCACAGGGCACACGTTGTCTGGACAGGACTGGGAGGTTGAGGGGCACAGGGCGAGGGCAGCGGCGCCGCAGGGCTGTGGCGCCATGACATCCTCTGATGAGGCCCCAGGGAGAGGCTCCCTGTCTGTCTGGTCGCTGCGCCAGCCTGCGTGTAGCATCAGGGTCAGGGCCTGGTCCGCGGAGCCATGGTGTGTCCTCCACATCCTGTCCTGGGTCTCTAGGGGGACCAGGGCGGCCTGCGGACCCTGCAGAAGAAGTGGACGTCCTTCCTGAAGGCGCGGCTGCTGTGCGCCCAGCCAGACAGTGGCCTGGTCTTCAACGTGCTGCGGGATGTGTTCGTGCTACGGGGCCCGGGCCTGAGGGAGCCAGTGTTCTACGCACTCTTCACCCCACAGCTGTGAGCCCCGGGCCTGGGGGTCGGGGCCGGGGGCAGGGGCAGGGGGCCACTCGGCTATGCCCTCCTCACCGTGCCCTGTCTGTCCCCAGGAACAACGTGGGGCTGTCGGCCGTGTGCGCTTACAACCTGTCCACGGCAGAGACGGTCTTCTCCCGTGGGAAGTACATGCAGAGCGCCACGGTGGAGCAGTCCCACACCAAGTGGGTACGCTACAATGGCCCAGTGCCCGCGCCACGGCCCGGAGCGGTGAGCTGAGGCCTCCCCTGGTCCCCTTGCCCCCTTGTCCGCGATAGGATTGCAGCTTTTGCCTCTGACGGCTGGACGGGAGAGCAAGCCACTGGGGCTGCCATGGGCTGAGATGTGTCCTGGGTCCTGGGTCCTTAGTTCCATTCCCTGCAGAGGAACAGGGTTTCCACAGGCTCAACTGTGCTGTCCACTAGTCAGGAGTGATCATGCTTCTTTTCCTCTGTAAAGTATAAATGTTAAATAAAAGAAAAATTTCCCCGAACTGGCCAACCCCTCATTTTCCCAGAGGTGTGGGCCAGCCCCGGGCGGCCTGGGTGTCTGGCCCTGATCGGGTGTACTTCCCGCTCTGCCTGCCGCTCCGTGAGGCGTGGCCACGTGTGGTTGAGGGTTTTCACTCCTGCATGTCAGGAAACTAGGACAGGGAAAACCCTTCCTGTGCTTTGGTTTCTGTGGAGTTAAAATGGGGCTGCTTCTCAGCAGTGCCTCCCGTGCTCCCCTGCGCGTGGGAAAGCTTGTGTGATAAGTAGTTTTCAGTTTTAAAGACTTGGTGAGTCTTCTCGTTTATACACGCATAAAAGATGCTCTGCTAATTATGTATCATAAAACACAATTATATATTATGGGTATGCTTTAATACTGTGTCCCGTCTGTGGCATGGAGTACATACCTGCAATTCCAGTTACTTGGGAGGCTGAGGCAGGAGGATCACAGGTTCAGGGCCATCCTGGCAACTAGATGCTATCTCCAAGTAAGCATCAAAAAGGGCTGGAGCTGTTGCTCCAGCATGGGGCAGTAACCTAGCATGCACAAGGTCCTGGGTTCAATCTGCAGAACCACAAGATAAAAAGTGTCCTCTTGCTCATGGGACAAGGCCACCTGACTGTCCTGTCAGCCAGCTTCTGAGGGGTCCCAGTCTCGCATCCCCTGCTCGGCAGCTGCTGGGGGTTCGAGGCTGCAGCCAGGCTGGCTATGGGCATGCGTGCTGATGGCCAGCGCTTGGCCTGCAGTGCATTGACAGCGAGGCACGGGCGGCCAACTATACCAGCTCCCTGAGCCTGCCTGACAAGACACTGCAGTTCGTCAAAGACCACCCCCTGATGGACGACTCAGTCACCCCGATAGACGGCAGGCCCCGGCTGGTCAAAAAGGATGCTAACTACACGCAGATCGTGGTGGACAGGACCCAGGCCCTGGACGGGACTGTCTATGATGTCATGTTTCTCGGCACAGGTGGGTCTTGAGGGCGAGGCTGTCGAAGCATGGAAGGGGGCAATGCACTTGTTCTGCAGGGCATCTGGCCTCTCCCTCAGGGAGCCCTATAGCCACTGGAGCTCCGAGCTGGAGGTCCTGGCCTGCATCTGGGTTGGCTGTAGCAGGCAAGTCCCACTGCTGCTGAGCTGGGTGATGCCCAGGCTGGCTGAGGGAGCCGTCCTGGAGCCCTCCAGCTGGCCTTGTGTGTGCCGTGCCTCACAGGCTGGCCACTGGGACCCCTAGGGCTCCCTGACCCAGGAGCCACTACACCTGGGGTTTGGGCCCCGAAGTTGCCATGTTGATTTGGAGGATGAAGGTGGTTAGACCCAGCTGTGGTGCAGTTATAAGAGAATCAGAATAACCCGGAACATGTTTTGCCACAGGCACTATTTGCTATTTCTGGTGCGAAGTTACCCCACTTTTCTGAGCACTCTGGGGAGTGTGGAGCAGGGTGAGGTATCTTGCTGGCTGCCTCTGAGCCCGACTTTGACCTTTCAGATCGCGGGGCCCTGCACAAAGCTGTGAACCTTGAGAACGAGGTGCACATCATCGAGGAGACCCAGCTTTTCGAGGACTCCGAACCAGTGCAGACACTGCTGCTGTCCTCAAAGAAGGTAAAGAGCCCCCCTGCACGGAGCAGTGGCTGTCAGGCCTCAGACCCGGCCTCAGGTGGCGTTCGAGGCTGGACACCTCCGGCACATCCCCCGCTCTGCCAAGGTGGCCGAGACACAGACGAAGGCAGCTGAGAGGCACAAAATGTTATTCTTTGGGCTATTTCAGTCATTTAGCAATACAAAGCCCCAGTGGGCACGCTGGCACACACTCTGGGGGACAAGAAGTTTGCACATTTCAGCCAAATCGGGGCAAGACCCTGTCTCAGCATGGAGGCCTGACTGAGTCCCCAGCCCACAGTCAGCAAGTGGTGAGCCGGCCCCTCCACACCCTCCAGAGCTGAAGCCAGGTGTGGCCCACTGGGTGTAGCTTTTGGTCCCCATCAGAGGCTCAGAAGCCCGAGGCACTGGTGCTGCCCTATCCTGTGTTTGGACTAGAGTAGATGAGGGGCCACGTGGGTGGCCACTCACCTTGACCCGTGGCTGCAGCACTGTCTGGCCCTGCCTCTGTCATCGCACCATTTCCAGTCTCTGCTGCCCTGTGTACCCCTGGGCACATGCACCAGTCCAGCCCATGCCAAGCCAACCTGCACATTCCTCAGGTTCGGCCTCCCTACAGCTGATGCCCTGACTGGGAAGAGACAGCAGGCAGGGCCAGGGTGTCCTCGGCAGGTACATTTGCAAGCATCTCCCTCAGGCCCCCCGGCCACTTCCCTTCTGTGTCCCTGAGGCTCCAGGAGTTCAGGACTGGTTTCACAAGGCTGTCCCTGAGCACCTCCCATGCCCATGCCCTGGGCTGGTGCTGCCTCTCAGCCTGCAGCACCTGGAGGCACCTGAGAGGTACAGGTGGGTGGTTTGCTCCCCTGCCATGCTCGTGTGCCCCAGGAACCATCGGGGTTGCTGTGCTGCCCCTTCGCCTCAGCCCAGCTGGTGCTGTGCCCTGAGGGTGAGTTGTGTGTAGGCGGGTGACTAAGGCAAGTCAGTCCCACACAGCTCTGCCGTCACAAGAACCTGTCTGGGGCCCCATACGAAGAGGAGTAGGTGGTGGTCCTGCTGGGCTCCCCAGTTCACCTGTCCTCACAGGAGCACTGCAACAGGGATTTGGCCCTGTTGCAGTGCGCAGTTTACAGGCAGCTCCCCTGCATGGGGTCCCCCTTCACTTTGGCCCAGGGTGGGGTTTCTATGCCCAGCTGTGCTGCCATGGCAGTGTCCCCCAACTTGTACAATGGCACCTCATCTGTGGAAGCCCACTGAGCCCTGTGAGACCACTTGTGACCACCGGGGTGGGTGTCTCACTCCCCACTCATGCCCCAGCCTTCCTCTGTTTCCAAGTGGCCCTGAGCACCCTGACAGCGTATGCGGTCAACACGCAGTCCCTCCTCAGAACTTGGCATCGTCTTGGGTTAAAAGTGTCCCATAGATCAGACTGTTCACACCCTCCCTGGCACATGCCATGCTATGTCTGTCCCTCAAGCTCGAGGCCACTGGTAGCTGGCACAGTGATGGCAGCCTGCGTGTGTCCTTCACACCACTCAGTCTCCTCACACCATCCCCCCAGCAAGCCTCTGGGGCACAGTGTGCGTGAGGCTGTCATCTTCGAGGCTGAACAGTGCTGCGTCATCTGGACAGCCATGTCTGTCTTTCCGCTCACCCACTGTCACCTGTGCACTGTACGCCTGGATGTAGAGCTGCCGCCTCTCTTGCTGCGGTCTGAGACGTTAGGACCCTGGGGTCACGAGCGTAGGTCAGCAGGTACCTTTTGCAAGTTCAAGTAGTCCAGAGCAGAGAGGAGCTGCCCAGCGCCTTCCCCACACCATGTGCTTCTCTACTGCCCTCGGCTGCACACACTTGGGAGCTGGCAGAGACAGGAAGGGGATAGTGGGCCCTCGGCACCTGCGGCTCGAGCATTCATTTGCACTTTTCTCAGTGCCCTTTGCCTTGCCTGGTGATCACCCCCATGGCAGGGCGCTGGCAGCTGATGTGCAGACACATCTGATGCTTTTTCTGCTTGTTGAATTTTTCATTTTGAGATGGTTTTGGTTTACAGGATAGCAGCACGGATGGCACCCCAGGTCCTCGTGCCACACTCAGCATCATCCACCCTGCCCCCTCCCTGCCTTCCCAGCCCCAGAGCCCACAGTGCACTGGGTCCTTACTTCTCCTCCAAGGGGACCCAGTCCCCAGCCTGGCAGACCTGGGCAGACTCAGTCAGGTCTTCCGTGGTGTCTGGTAGTTTCTTTGGACTGCTCTAGGGGCGTGGCTTGGGGAGGGCATCATGGGGGGTCCACCTGGGGCATTTGTGCCACCTGCCTGTGTACACAGGACTCTGTCCAGCCAGCCTAGGTGGGCGTCGGCCTCACCTCAGGCAGGGGGGAGGGCAGGCATGGGCCTGGGTTACCTGGGTTACAGTCCAGGGAGAGCTGTGCTCACTCAGGAGTGAACACAGAGAGGAGGCACAGGCAGCCTGCATGCCCAAGGTCCCTGCCTGCCAGTCCCTGTCTGCAGTTCCGCTGGTCTCAGATCAAAAGTACTTGGAAAAAAAATTGCATGTGCACTAAACGAGCAGACTGTTTCTTTGTCCTCACTCCCTGGACCGAGTAGTTTCTCAGGTATTACAGTCTGGAGGTGATGGAAAGCCTCCTGGAGTAGGTGCTTAGGTCACGTGCAAATACATAGGTTTATGGAAGGGACTTAGGTACCTGAGGGTGGGGCCCAGAGTGAATGCCAAGGGGTGACTGGTTCTCTTGTTTGTTTTGTTTTCTGTCTGCAGAGACAGAGTTTTGCTATGTAGCCCAGGCTGGCTTTGAACTCACAGCAGTCCTCCTGCCTCAGCCTCTTGAGTGCTGGGGTTACAGGCATGCACACTACACCTAGTCAGTTTCTCCCCCACTCACCTGCTAATCTTAGCACCCCCAGTGGGTCCTGCTAGCAGCAGGCCCTGCTCAGTGTCCCGGGAGGCCCTGCCCTGGACACCTGTGTGCTGGATGCAGCTGGTGACACGGGCTGGTGGCACAGGCCCTGTCCCAAGGGGGTGAGGAGGGCCTTCAGAGGGGTTCCCCACCTTCTCCAAGGGCCTCTTCCCCGCGCAGGGCAGGAGGTTCGTCTACGCGGGCTCCAACACAGGTGTGGTGCAGTCACCGCTGGCCTTCTGCGAGAAGCACGGCAGCTGTGAGGACTGTGTCCTGGCGCGGGACCCGTACTGCGCCTGGAGCCCAACCGAGTCCGCCTGCGTCACTGTGCACCAGGCTGAGGCCAGCAGCAGGTATGGGACGGGCGCGCAGCCCACAGGATCCGCGGGCAAGGCTGTGACTATAACCCTGTAACCCTGCCGGTTGTCCTGCAGGTCATGGATTCAGAAGCTAAATGGTGACGTGTCCTCGTGCCCGGGTGAGTGGGTCCCCACCTCCATCCGAGTCGCTGACTCGGTTGCGTTCCATGGTGCTTCTATGGTATGGCGCTCCCGTGCTTCGCTTCCCTCCCCCGAGTAGCAGGCTGGCCACTTGCTCTGTGCTTGGATCCCAGGGAGAGCATCTGAAGCCACAAGGGCCTGTGGGTCCCTCTCTGCACTCTGCTACCCGGTGCCCTTCTCAGTTCTGCGAAGCTTGGCTTCAAAACCTATCAGGAACGGGAAGAAAGGGGGCCACGAGTCCGAGCCAAGCACCCCAGTCTCAGGACCCCAACCTGAAAGTCTTGCGCGTGGCGTGGTGTCTCGGGGAACCCCGTACCAGGAACATTGTGTTCTGCTCAGAATGACCTAAAATGCTGTGTGAGGTCATCTTCAGCCTGTGTGAGGTGCGCAAGAAACAAAGGGAGTCCTGCTCACAGACAGGTGCCCTGCCCGAGTGCTGTCACGCACAATGCCCCAGAGTCTGAACAGCATCTGGAGCCCAGAAGCTTCCACACAGCACGTTCTGGTGAAAGATGTGCAGCTCCCCGCAGTGGCTGGGGAGGCAGCACGGCAGCCCGGAGTCCCTGCACCTCGCTGGTGTGTGGGGGCAGGGTGGCCTCGGCTCCAGGGCCCCTCTCTCCTGTGGACAAACAGCAGTCACTGCATGGAAGAAGGGTAGGGGCAGGGTGCCCGCTGTCCTGGAGTCGGCCTTCCCCACAGCCACTAGCAGAGTTCGATGTTAGACGACGGCAGCCATGTCACGGGGTTCCTCTGATCTCCTCTGTCCCCGAGGGCTGCCATCTGGGCTCATCCTTGCTTCTGTGGTCACGCATGTCTTTATCTTCTAGTTGTTCTGGAAGACTCCATCTTGCTCCAGTGGGTGAAACTTGTATCCTCTTGTGGGTATTGACTGTTTTTAAAGGCAGTCGTGTAAGCCACCAGGGTTGTTGATGCTGTGCACATTTATTTTGATGTTCCAGATAAGATTAAAGAAAGTTACCGGCAGCGCTTTTTCAAGCACGGCGACACGGCGGAACTGAAATGCTCCCAAAAGTCCAGCCTAGCCCGGGTGGTGTGGAAGTTCCAGAATGGTGTGCTGAAGGCCGAGAGCCCTAAATACGGCCTGGTGGGCAGGGGAAACCTGCTTATCTTCAACCTCTCGGAAGGAGACAGCGGCGTGTACCAGTGTCTGGCGGAAGAGCGGGTCCGTAGTGGGATGGTCTCCCAGGTGGTGGCCAAGCACGTGCTGGAGGTCAAGGTGCTCCCGCGGCCTCCACCAGCCCCCAGCTCGCCGGCCTCTCAGGCCACCCCCGGGGCACCTGCAGCATCCACCCAGGGAGCTCCTGCCCCAAGCCTGGCCGCGAGGGCCACTGCCCCCGGGCCTGTCACCCCGCCACCTAGGCCTGTGCCCGCCAGCACATCCTGCGTGCCCAAGCCTGTGGGGAACACGGTGCCGCAGTGGCCCTCGGAGAAGACGCTATACCTGAAGTCCAGCGACAACCGCCTCCTGATGTCACTGTCGCTCTTCCTCTTCCTGCTGCTCCTCTGCCTCTTCTCTTACAACTGCTACAAGGGCTTCCTCCCTGGGCAGTGCCTCAAGTTCCGCTCCGCCCTGCTACTAGGCAAGAAGCAGCCCAAGCCTGAGTTCTCGGACCTGGAGCAGAGCGTGAAGGAGACACTGGTAGAGCCCGGGAGTTTCTCCCAGCAGAACGGTGAGCAGCCCCGGCCCGCGCTGGACACCGGCTACGAGACAGAGCCGGACACCATCACCAGCAAAGTCCCCACGGACCGGGAGGACTCGCAGCGCATCGATGAGCTCTCCGCCAGGGACAAACCGTTCGACGTCAAGTGCGAACTGAAGTTTGCAGACTCGGACGCAGATGGAGACTGAGGCTGTGACCACATGAGTCTTGCAGTCCTTTTGTGAGAGTTTCGTGCTTAGCCTGTGGAGTAACAGAGTCTCCGTCTCGTCACTGTGCCGTGGCCCTTCGTCTTGTTTGCTCCAGGTGGAGCCTGTGACTTGTCCCTCTTTTGCTTTGGGAAAACAAACATCGTGTCCAGTCCTGAGGCCTGCAGCGGGGTGGGGCATGGGGCCTCGGTGGGTGGCCCTGGTGTCCCTGTGCCCCTGAGGCATGGCTCAGGGGAGAGGGCGGCTGCTGACTACCGACTGAGCGGGGCTCCTCCTGTGTCCTCCTTGAAGCAGCTACCAGAAGAGAGTTTCCTTCCCAATTGGAAATGCGTTTTCATTTATCAGATTGGTAACCAGTGCCTGCTGTCCAGACTGGCACGGACCTTTTCTTCCACTCAGTTGTTTCTAGGGTTCTGCTTTGATTGTGTTGGGTCTTAGGTGTTTTTCTTTTCATTACTGAAGCACACGTTTTAATATTTAGAAGGAAACGTTCATCCTCCAGGTTTTGTTGTGTACTGGAACGTGGCTTATGTTGCTTATGATTCTCAGGGATAGACTTACTTTTTGCTCAGTGTTCTTTCTGCCTCTAGAAGTGTCGACCTAAATACCACAGCTCTCCAGCCCACTCACCCTTTTACTTTCCGCTTTTTACTGTATTCCTTAGAAGCACCCTTTTCCGAGACATTTTATTTCCATACTTTTTAAAACTTTGTCGAAGAGGAGGACTGTCCTGCACCCAGGCAGCTGGCGGGTGGCCAGGGTGGCCATGGGCCCTGGTGAGTAGGCTGCCTCAAGGAGCGGCTGTTTCGCCCACCTGTGGCTGCCAGGTGTGCCCTCCCTTCCCGGGGGTCCTGGGTTCTATGAACACCTCCCCTCTCTTTTTGCTTCGGTCTCGTCCCCACTGCCACCCAGATTTGGTCCTCAGCCCCGCAGAGCTATCCCCTCATCCCGGAAGACAATGGGCCCTGGCCACAGGGCTGGCACACGGGGCCCTGTCCCAGCCCGGCCTCTGCTGCCGGTGTTAAGGATGTGGACAAGTGGTGTGACATTAACCTGTGTGTTTGTGTTGCTCTCATCTCCTGCGTTTTAAGTTCTCGTGCAGAGGAGGACTTCTGTTCTGTGGCAGAGAACAATAAACTGGATTTCTGTGTGCCTGTGTGGACGGTCTCCCCTCTCGGCATGATACGAGCTCCCATCTGGGTGTAAACTTTCGTGTTTTATAAGATTTACTTTGTTTTTATTTTTCTATCTTGACTTGTATACATGTGGAAACACCTGAATAAATGAGAGGCTTCTACCACTGGTTCAGGCAGGGTCACTTGTGCAGAGGGTGGAGTGGGTTTTGGCCCCAGGACCCTTCTTTGTGCCCAGCTGTCCGCTTCCTGCTGCGCTCTGCCTTCTCTGGCCGGGACCCAGTCCCGACACCGCCCTCCTCAGTGCCCTTTCTTTTCTGTCCTCTGTCTCACAGCCTCGGCTCCTAAGCCCTTTCCTCCTCCTGGCTCCTCCTCCCTGTCCTGTCTGGGCCCCGACGCATCCTCCTCTCCCCGAAGCCCCTGGCCAGCCCCTGGCCCAGGGCGGGACAACCGCACGCAGGTCGCCTTGCTGCCGCCCTTCCTCAGCGACCAGACACAGCGGGTGCATGCACTGGAGACCTTCCACCTCTTCTGCCAGGCCACAGGTGAGTCGGGGCCACCCTGTCCAGGGGCATAGGCTTCCAGCTCAGCCTTGCTGCCCGCCTGCTTCCCGTGGAGTGGGCCTGCAGGAACCGTGGCGGGTCAGCAGGAGGCCAGGGCACAGAGTTCCCAGCTCTTCTCCAGAAGGCCAGGCTGCAGGATGTGAGGGCTGCAGGGTCCCCAGCATAGCTGCTTGGTCCTGCCCTGCCCTGACATTCACAGCAAAGCAGCCGTTGAGGATGGCAAAGCCACTGCCAATGAAACTTCATTTATAAAACTCAGCAAGGGGCCAGTTAGGGCCAAGGGCCAGGTTGGTGACTTGTAGTGTGGCTCATGGGGTAGCTTCCATTTCTGTAATGATTCAGAACCTTGTGGGTGGGTCATTTAGATTCTTTTCTTTCCCAGTACTGAAGGTTGAGCTCAGGGCCTCAGATGTGCACGGCCAGTGCTATCCCTGAGCCTGCCTCCGCACATTGGAAGAGATGGGTACTGTGAGACGGGTCCAGGACTCAGATCCTCCACCTGTGAGTTGCCAGGGTGGCAGGCATGTCCACCACATGCAGCGTGTTAGGAAAGTTTTTTAAAGTGGCTTCCGGGTTTCCAGAACGGGGCTTTGTTGACCTGTTCCAGGATACTGGAAAGCAGAAATACTGGGTAAGCCTTTTTCCTTGCAGCAGGGTGCTGGAGGGCATTCATTCCCATGGGGTCTGCTCTTCAGGGAAGGTGGCTCAGCCGCCACAGCCTGGAGCCAGCACCTGGCAGCCAACTGCTGTCTCACTGCCTGTGTCTGCGTCTGCGTTTGCATCTGCTCAGAATGGGGACTGAAGTTCACAAGGACCCGGTTTGCTTTCAGACAAACCTGAATGGTCAGGAGCTGCTAGGTGTTTAAGCTGCCGCCGTCCCTGGTGAAGGTGGCTCTGGAGCGCTGGAGAGCCCGAGGGTGCTGTGTGACAGCCTGTCAGTAGCTGGTGTGCCCTGCAGAGCCGGATCTTTGTCCATCTCCTGTGGTGTGAGCTGGCTGTTTGGTTTTGGTTTTTGGGAGCCAGGGTTTCAGCATGTTTCCTGAACTCCAACGCTCAAACAAGGCTCCTCAGCTGGGCTGGACTTCGCTTCCAGCCCACCAGGCTGCTGTGGCCCAGCCTATGCTGCACTGGGAGGCTGAGTGAGCTCCCCCACTGGGGTTCTGTGTGTCTGGTGGTAGTGGATTTGGAGCACTACGTGGGCCCCTGGAGGACCCCTCGGTGTTGCAAGCACAGTCCACATGACAGGGTGAAGGGTTCAGGGATGCTTCCTGTGGACACAGGCAGGCTATGCGGCCAGGTGCACAACGTTGTCGGGGGCAGGTCTTCAGTCATGCATTCCCTACCAGCCCAAGTTTCACACAGGTGCTGGGCTGGGCAGGACCAAAGGCTGGTGCCCCATGGGTGGTGGACATGGCTGTGGTAGCAGTGGGCAGGGAAGCTGGTGTGGGGAGCAGGCATGAAGGGGGATGGCCTGGTGGCGGGGCGGATGGCAGGAGCCGTGGAGGCCAGCATTCCCTGCCCCATGGGCGCAGGACCACAGGGGAAAGGTGGCTCTTGGTCTAATCTCTGGCCACCAAGGCCAGCCGTGCACAGCTGCACAGCTACCTTGCACACATAGACCTGGGACTGCTGGGTTTGGGTTTGTTGTACTCACTATGTGGCCGGCTGTGAGGGTTTTGGGGAACGTCACACGATGCATGCCACATGCATCATGTGCTACATGGGCACCTTGCCCCTACACAGCACACACACATGACACCCCCTACGCAGCAGGCCACTCACTGCTTGCAAGTCACCCACCGATGACATGGCCCACAGACCCATGTGACACACACACACAGCCTGAGCAGCCGGGCACTCGGGAGAAGACATCTCTACAGCACCTTTTGCACCCATGGTGCCCGAGGTCAGGACTGGGATACCTTAGGGTCACTTGTGTTGGCCACAGGACACCAACACTGTGGGATGGTGTGGGATCAGGAGTGTGAAGGGACAGGGAAGTGGGCGCCAGACAAAAGCCCTTTCTGCTCCCCAGCGCCCTGACCCCTACACACCTTGCTCACACCACAGAGGCTTTCAGGACACAGGCGAGTGAGGCTGGAGCATTCAGCTCCCCACTGCCCCGTGAGCTGGCCAGGTCATGCCTTTGTCCCTTTCCCAAGGAGGGCAGGCCCACCACCAAAGCCTTCTGCACCCAGGGGCCCACGTCTGCAGCTGCTGATGGGAAGCCTGGCCATCTGGCCTCCCAGTTCCACCCCCATTCCCATGGTGGCTGCTGTCCTGTGATGCAGGCTGAAGCCTGGGAGCATTTGCCAGCGTGCAGTGGTGTACGGGGCATGTGGGAAACAAGAGTGCGGGTCCCCGTGTGGCCCTGGAGGGGAGTTTCTGGTGACCAAGACCCAGTCTGGCAAGGCTTCAGCCGAGGCACCTTGCAGGGGTGACCGCATCCAGACTCCCCAGGGAGGCTGGTAATGACAAGGTCTCCCCCAGGACTGTGGGGTGTGGTCAGCGTCCATCACATCCACAGAAAGGCCAGCATGTTTGGCACTTGGGCTCCATCTCCCCAGGGGTAACCGACTGACATTTGACTGGGGGGGTTCAGCTCTGCATAGGTAGCTAAGTCTCCACTCGGCAAGAACAAAGCAGGGCGACACATGAACCAGGCAGGCATGGGCTCACAAGGTTTTAGGCAGTCCAGGGGAAGCACTTGAGCCCTGCCTTCCCCTGGCTGCTCAGGCCCGAGTGGCAGGTGACACTGAAGGATGCTGCCAGGGTGAGTGGCAGGGAGATGAGACTGCGTGGGGCATCGTCAGAATTGCTGCAAGTGGGCTGTGTCTCACTCCTGTCTCCTGGCTGCTCCAGGACTTGGGGGAAGGGGAAGAGGAGGCCAGCCAGGCCTCAGTGTGTTCCCCAGCAGTGTGGACCTCACCCGTCCAGGTGCAGAGTGTGGGACAGAGATGCCCGCCTGGGATAGGAGGAGCCGCTGTCCCCAGGAGGGGCACAGCCCAGGACATTGTGTGCTGCAGGGACAAGCTGGGGTGCTCCAAGGGCTGCCGGGGGGTGGGGGGAGCAGGGCAGATGGTAGTGGCCATGAGGTCAGAGTGGGCCACAGGTACGTGGGAGCCTGGGGACTGTCTCCACCTAGAAGGGCTATGGGGCCTCACCATGGCCCCTGCAGCTCACACCTGCCCACCCCAGGCTCAGCTTCTGGGGGGCCACCCAGTAGAGCAATTTGTGTGGAGTCAGCTCTGAAGCCAGGGTCCTCCGGGAACCAGTACCTCCTGCTCTAATGCCAGGGGAGCCTTGTGCCCAGGTTGGTGGTAGCATCGTGACAGGAATGGGACTCGCACCTGTGTTTGGCCGGCGGGGCATGCTGTCCTCCTGTTGTGAGGATGGGACACTGGGGGCTCGGCAGGAAGCTCAGGCCAGAACCAGTGGGTTCTCGGGGGAAGAAAATCCCCAGGCCAGCATTGAGGACACAGGCAGCCAGGGGGTCTGCTGTGGCTGGTCCAGCCTCTGCCCACCCCGATCTCCAGGCGCTGCTTCTAACTCACTTTCCTCTCTCTTTGCTGTCTGCTGCGCTCAGAATGAGGCTGATAGTGTACAATGCGTGTGTGGACCGTAAGTACCCCAACCCCTCTCGAGTCTCTGGGTGCGCATGTTCCATATCCATGATGCTGAGAGCCATCCTGGTGCTGGCGGGGCTGCGGGGTCCCGGGGGTTGGTCTCCCCGAGGAGCAGTGTTGGTGTACGGAGGAGACAGCTTTTTAAAAACCATCTTAGTGCCTGGCATTTAAAGAGCAGCCCACTGACCCTCACAACTCTGGCGATTCCATTTCTTAAAAGCACTATCCGGTGTGATACCTTTTAAGCTGGGCACAGCAGAAGGAAATGCAGTCCCAGAGGCTATGTGGCTGTCAGATGCAGGCCCTGCACCATGGCAGAGCCACATGCCAGGCATACTCGTGTCAGATGTCACAGGTGACCCAGAGACAAAGTGAAGTCCACATGCAACATATGAGGCCGTTTTTATAGACATCTGCTATCTTCTGGGGCCCTGGGCCCAGCGCCAGTGCGTATGGGGGGAAGGACTGTGTGTCCCCCAGGTGATGGACATCTACCTGTCCACATCGGGAGATGCATGTGCACACATGCACACACACACGAGTAGAAAAATAATACAGCATGGATGGGAAATTCTGCACAGAACAACCCCTGAGGGCCAGACTGCTACATAAAACACTTTGGGAAGACCTCTGGGAATTCCTGAGAGGTTACAGCACATTTCTTTCAAATTAGCAGTCTGTGTTTTCACTCCAGGAGCTATGTTTGTTCAGTTTGTAAACTGTAGGAAAACATGAATTAGCCCCAAACATAACATCTAGAGGTGGCTGCCACCGGTGTCAGCGCCACTATTGGGCCTTTTATCTGAACAGATGTGGGTCCCGCACCCATGGCAGAGCCATATGCTAGGCAAATGCGTGTCAGGGACCCAGAGACAACATGAAGTCCACAGCTATACGTACATGTGTAAACACAGACCTACACACACACACGTGCTTTTTCATTTCACAAGTCAGCATTTCTGTTTCTCGTTTCTT